ATATATAATATGTGTATGTTTTCTGAATTTCACTTTTAGTTTTTATTTATTAATTTATTTTTAAGTTGTTTTGTTTTTATGTTTACTTGTATTTATTTATAAACTGGTCAGCAACAGTAGCAAATTTAACAATGTGCGTTAACAAATAATTTGTAAATATAATGTATGTATGTATATAATATATGTATTTTTCCTCTCCGCCTTTATCATTTGCCTTATTAGATGTATATATAAGTGTGTGTGTGGTTGTGTGTGTGTGGGTGTCTGTTGGTGTATGTGAAGTCGCAATGGAGCTCTTCATGCATTTATCTATTTTTCATCTGTTTGTATTTTCAATTCATATATATATATCTCAATTTCATTATCTTTGCTAGCAATTTATTTAAATTGGAAATTTGTTAATATATTAAATCAATTATACAACAATTTATGCATTTTCTCCTGGTAGATGTTGTCCCTGTCTGTGTTTAGCTTTTTAGTATTATCAATATTTCTATCAATTGTATTAATAAAAAATATCATTAGCTCTATTAGTTGCATTCATCATATCAACAGTACAACATCATTTACACAGACTCACAGTGGACTGGGGGATTCTTTGATTTGTTTCCATTTCCATTTCCATTTCCATTTTCACTTTTCTTTTAACTTTATCTTTGTATAATTGTGTATACGTATATGTATATATATACATATATGTATATATTAGCTTAGTAATCGTAATCAATAGCATAATCATAATAATAGATCTAATCTACGAATAATATAACAGGACCCTATGGAATGACCAGGGTTATTTGCCAAAGCCGAACCCGAATTTACCAAACAGATCTTTGCCTTTCGACAGGACGTCGCCGCCGGGCGCCGCTGCTGCGATGCCCTTGAGGCCGCCCAGCAGACCGGCGCCCGGTCCTTGGGGCGGCGGCTGGGCTTGCGGTGGCACTTGTTGTTGTTGTTGTTGCATGCCGGGCTGTTGTTGCATGCCGGGCTGTTGCTGCATCCCGGGCTGCTGCATGCCTGGAGTCATCTGCTGGGCACCGAAGGCGTTTGCTTGTTGCTGCGTTGGCTGCGCACCACCAGGTGGTTGCATTGGATCCGTTTTGGGCGGTTGCTTCGAACCAAATAGACCACCGGTGGCAGCCGAAGTAGCACCAGAGAGCAGGCTAGTTGCCCCCGAGAAGAGTCCGCCTGTTGGCGCCTGCGTCGTCACAGGCACCTGTTGCTGCTGCTGACCCATTCCCATTTGTCCCATCTGTCCCATTTGTCCCATTTGTCCCATCTGTCCCATTTGACCCATGCCGCCCATGCCGCCCATCTGTTGTCCCATTTGCTGCTGTTGCTGCGTCTGTCCGCCCATCATGCCCATCGGCTGTTGGCCCATTCCCATCATTCCACTTTGTCCCATGCCCATTTGTTGCTGTTGCTGTTGTTGTTGCTGCTGCTGCTGCTGTTGTCCCATTTGCGTCTGTTGCTGACCATAAGGTTGTTGCTGTTGTTGCTGTTGCTGCTGCTGCTGGAGTTGTTGCTGCTGCATGCCAACATTACCAACGCGACCGATCATCTGCAAGTTGTCGGTTTTTGGAATATATACCAAAATATACTGAATTAGTCGAGTGATTCCAATCTCGTTAAATAGATCTTCAAATAAATGGCAACTAATCATTTAAATAATCGTATTTTATGGGTTTTATGGGTATTCGCATTATATTCGTAATACTTTTCGTACGATCTTTATCAAAATTTGTCATGAGTTTAGCGTATTCATTTAACAATAATATCTATGTAAAAAAAAAAAACATTTTTTGATATGATTCTAAGTATTTAGTTAGTAGTAGTTGCCGCTGAGAGAGAGAGAGAGGAGCTGGATTTGGTTGGTTAGTAAGTAACATAATTGCAGCTACGTTCAACTACTACGCAACGAATCGTATATATATGCTAGTTTAGGTATATGGTATAGATATATGTCAGTATATATGTGGCAGAAACCTCATCAAAATTGTGTTGAGATTATGTTCAGTCAATCTCGGAACAACGGAAATCGCTACGAAATGAGCTCAAAATATAAACTTTGTCCAGAAATGCAATGCATTCAATACATAGTGAATATATGGATTGAGATCTCATTAGATCGTAGGATTTTAATATTCCATTTGATTCCCGAGATTTTCTTGTTTTTCACTTTGGCAATTTTCTCCATTCAATCAAAACGAATGACAGTACAAGTTTGTCAACATTGGTTGTGCTCGGAATCTTTTGATTGAAATTTGAAAATTTATGTAGAACTAGCAACGTTTCTCAATTAAAACAAAATATAATAATGATGCCCACGGCATCATGGCATACGCTTGCAGTAAACGAAACAACAACAAAAATAAATAAATAAATAAATTAAAAA